TTAAAGAAAAAGCATATAATTGTGCAAAGACAGGTGGTAGGTCAAAAGATTAGACAGAATGTAAAAGGCAGCAAAGAATGACCAAAAATTAATAGAGCATGCCACAGGGATCGGTCCTGGGATTTCAACTTTAGAAATTATACAAATGGCTTGAATGGCAGGATGAAGAGATTGTTGCCAAATTTGCTAACAACGCAAAGATAAGTAGGAAAATAACTTGTGAAGACTCAAGGAGGTCTACTAAAAGATTACTGATAGGCTAAATGAATGGACAATGATGTGGCAAATTGAGTATAATGTTGAAAATGTGAAATTGTCTATTTGGTAGGAAAAATAAGAAATCATATTATCTAAAAGGTGATAAATTGTAGAGTTCTGAAATGCAGAGAAATCTGGGTGTCCTCGTGCATGAATGGCAAGAGTCAGTGAAGTGATGAAAGGAATCATCAACAGTGCTATCAAGCAGCACCTGCTCAACAATAAACTGTTCACTGACGCTCAGTTTAGGTTTCGCCAGGGCCACTCAGCTCCTGACCTCATTATAGCTTTGGTTCAAGTACGGATAAAAGAGCTGAATTCTTGGGATGAGGTGAGAGTGAATGCCTTTGACATCAAAGCTGCATTTAACTTGGTGTGGCATCAAGACCCCCAGCAACACTGGAGTCAAAGCTTCCTGTAAAGACTATTCCATTCTAACAGTTCTTCAGAGTCTGTCACGTGTGTTCTGCTGATGCCAACTTCAACAAGGGGGCCTCCAAAACATCCATCTTCTTCGTCAATCAAGGATTATCCACCACCATAGTTGACAGGGCACTCAGCCAGGTCTGACCCATTTCCCGCACATCAGCCTGCACTCCCTCTCTTCCCTCCCACAACAATGACAGGGTCCCCACCATCTTCACCTCCATCCCACCAACATCCACATCCAAAGGATCATTAGCCATCATTTCCGCCACTTCCAATGGGATGACACAACCAGTCACATATTCCCCTCACCTCCCTTGTCAGCCATCTGCAGAGACCACTCCCCCGGGATACCTTGGTCCACTCTTCCTCCACCCCTGTAGCACCTTCCCACGCTGTCATAGAAGGTGTAACACCTACCTCTTTACTTCCTCCCTCCCCACTATCCAAGGCCCCAGACACACCTTCCAGGTAAAGCAACAATTTACCTGCACTTCGCTCAATCTGGTCTACTGTATTTCTTGCTCACAATGTGGTCTCCTCTACACTGGGGAGACAAAGCACAGACTGGGTAACTGCTTTGCAGAACACCCACATTCTGTCTGAAAAAATGGCCCCAAACTTCTGGTTGCCTGTCACTTCAACACACTATCGTGTTCCCTGGTAAACATCTCTGTCTCGGATGGCTACAGTGCTCCAATGAAGCTCAATGCAAGCTGGAAGAACAGCACCTCATTTTCTGCTTGAGAAGCCTGCAACCTTCTGGACTCCATATCGAGTTCAATGATTTTAGAGGCTGAGTACCTTGTCCTTACACCTCCCCCTCACCACCCCTCCCAACACCCGTTCCCCACCACCCACTTGTAACTAAGTGACTACATGGCTTGCTACCACAAACAACTCATTGGCAGCTGCTAACAGTCCCCATTAGGGGTTACTGATTCTCCCAGGCTGACCTTTACCCACTCATTTATCTGCTCAACTGCTTTTCTCTCTCTCAGAGCTCCATCCCCATCTATCATTTACTCTTCCCCCCCCCCCCCACCCCTTCTCTAGCATATATGCCAATCTTTTCTAAACTACAATCAATTCTGAGTAAGGGTCACTGGACCTGAAACATTAACTCTGCATTGTCTCCACAAATGCTGCCAGATATGCTGAGGTTTTCCATTTTGGAAACATTTCAGATTTTGAAGTCAGTAGGAATTGGGGAAAACTCTCCACTGGTTGGAGTCATAACTGACACAAAGAAAGCTGGTTGCGGTTTGTTGGAGGTCAGACATCTTAGCTTCAGGACAACTCTGCAAGAGTTCCTAAGATTAGTTTCCTTGGCCCAACTATCTTCAGCTGCTCCATCAATGACCTTCTCTCCATCATAAGGTCAAAAGTGGGGACATTCACTGATAATTGCACAGTATGCAAAACTATTCATGATTCCTAGGATATTGAAGCAGTCTATGTCCAACTGCAGCAAGATCTGAACAGTATTCAGACTTGGGCTGCAAAGTTGCAAGTAACATTCATGCCAGGTTATGGCTGTTTCCAACAAGAGAAAATCTAACCATTGCCAATATTCAATGGTATCACAATCACTAAATCCCCCATTATCAACAGGCTCGGGGCTACCATTGGCCAGAAACTGAACTGGACTAGCCATTTAAATACTGTAGTTACAAGGACAGGTCAGAGTCTAGGAATCTTGCAGAGAGTAATTCACCTCCCAATTCCCCAAAGCCTGTCCACCATCCACAAAGCCTAAGTCAGAAGTGTGATGGAAAAAAAATATAAGAACTAGGAATAGGAGTAGGCAATTCAGCCTCTCGAGCCTGCTCTGCCATTGTATACAATTGGGCTGATCTCATCTCAGCATCCACTCCACTTCCCTGTCTGCTCTCCAAAACCCTCCAATACATTACTAATTTAAAATCTGTCTATCTCTTTGAATTTATTCATTGTCCCATCATCTACCGCATTCTGGAGTAGAGAATTCCACAGATTCACAACCCTTTGAGAGAAGTAATTCCTCCTCGTCTCTGTTTTAAATCTGATAACCCTTACACTAAAACTATGGCCTCTCATTCTAGATTTCGCTACAAGAGGTAACTTCCACTCTATAGCTACTTTGTCAATCCCCTTTAGCACCTTACATATCTAAATTAGATCTCCTCTCATTCTTCTAAACTCTAGAAAGAATAGGCCTAAACTGCTCAATCTTTCTTCATAAGCAAAACTTGTCATTTTTGGAATCAATCAAGCGAACCTCCTCTGAACTGCCTCCAATGCAACTACATCTCTCAAGCTGGGAGCAATTGAGTGTCTCCTTAAACATCTACCACTGCTTATCCACTGTCCTAACTTTCAGTCTTCTAGTCCATAGGACCAAATCTATTCTCATGCTTTCATTTGTAGCTTTGTTTTACTTTAGGACACTAGTGTGAGACTCAAGTTTCTGCCCTCAAATTGAATACTCCCCACTTGTCTGAATGAGTGTAGCTCCAACAACACTCACGTATATCTTGACACCACACAGAACAAAGGTCCCGCCTGATGCCCAACTACAAACATTCAGTCCCTCTACCACTGACACAACAGTGTGCACCATCTATAAGATGCACTGCTGAAATTCACAGAGGCTACTTAGACAGCACCTTCCAAACTCACGATCACCGCCACTTAAAAGTACAAGGGCAGCAGATACAAGGAAACATGGCGAGCCTTCAAGCCAATCACCATCCACACTTGGATCAAAATCCTGGAACTCTCTTCCTAATGGCACTGTGGGTCTATCTACACCAAATAAACTGCAGCAGTTCAAGAAGGCAGCTCACCACCACCTTCTCAATGGTAACTTGGGATGGGGAATAAATGCTGGCCTGGAACGCCCACATCCCCTGAATGAATTATAAAGAAGTTAGTATGCGAATGCAGCACATGAGAATTAGGAAAGGTATCAGAATGTTATCATTGATCGTCAGGGTAAATTAACACACTCATTGGGGGTGGGGGAAGAGTCATACTCCAGTTACACAGCACACTGGTGAGATTGCATGTACGGTGACCAATATTGTTCTCCTTATTTAAGAAAGGATGTAACTTATATGGAAACAGTTCAGAGAGGGTTTACAAGGCTAATATCTTGAATGGGACAAGTATTCCCATGAGAAAACGTTAGACAGGCTGCGCTTGTATCCTCTGGAATTTATATAAGTAAGCTGCGGCTTGATTGAAACATAAAATTCTGAGGAGTCTCGACATGGTAGATGTGGACAGGATGTTTCCTCTCATGGGAGAATCTAAAACTAGGGCTCACTGATCAAAAATGTGGAGTCACCCATTTAAAACAAAGATTAGGTGATTTTCTTTTCTCTGAGAGGTTTGAGAGCATCTGGGACCCTATTCCAAAGGCGGTGAAAGCAGAGTCCTTGATTAGTTTTAAAGCAGAAGTGGTTAGATTCTTGTAAAGCAAGGAGATGAAAGGTTATCTGGGATAGACAAGAAGCTAGATTTGAGGTTACAGTCAGATCAGGCATGATCTTGTCGAACGGCATAGTAGGCTCAAGGGGCTGAATGGCTTCCACCTGCTCCTGATTTGTTATGTTCATTTACAGGGCAGTGATGGCTACATCATTAAACATATTCAAGGCCAAGTTAGGCACATTTTTGACTGACATTGAAGTCAAGGGGAATAGGGTGGAGCAAGAAAAATTGTATCAGTAATAACCTTACTAAGTGGCAATGAATGCTCTGATGGGCCAAATTCCACTTCTTGAATTCTGCTTAAGCCCCTCTCCCAGTCTATTTTCAATCTTCAATACTACAAATAAAAGGAGTTCACAAACTTGTCTTTAATATTGAGATCATAATTATCTGCTTTTCCAGTCTCCCTCCCTTCAGCTTACTTTAAATAAAACCTGAATTTATGTCAACACTATGTTGTGGGATTGTTACAAAAAAAAAAGACACCATTGAAATCCCCATTATGCACGTCCCATCTCAGACATTTCATGCTGTGTGTTCTTCACATTGTACACACTATATTTAAAACTGCCACTAATAAATTCAATCCAACCTGAAATCAATATCAAAACAAAATACTATGCTGGAACGCTGAAATAAGAGGAGAAAATGCATGAAATGCAGAGAGAAACAGAGTTAATGTTTCAGTTAACGAGTCAGTTTTGGTGTCGGGTAACTGACCTGGCAAGTTATTTCTTCTCTCCAGAAATGATTCTAAACCTGTTCAGCATTTACCAGATTTTCTATTTTTCACTATGAAGTAGATGGTGAAAACATTTAATGCAGTAGTAGTTGCTTACATTTTCCAGCTCTGGATCATGGAATGGAAATTGACCCATCACTCTCTTGTACTCCTCTTCATTCGAGACAGGAATAGCACTGTAGTTATCCAACTCTAAAATATATCTGGCGGATGCAAAATAAATAGTATTAACATGCAGAGTTATCTAATTTCCAATATATCAGTAGAAAACAACTCTGGACCTAATGAATCTCTGAAGCAAACTCCCTTGGATATCTGGCAGCTGTAAGTTCCATTTAACCATATCTAAATGAATATTGCCAATTAAAATCATTTCATTTCTGTACTGCACCAATGTCAATCCTTATTAATGCCCACTGCTCACATGGACTTTAAGGAATCTAATGATACCTCTTGTTTGTAAAACTCGAACACACACACACACACACACGCCACAGGTCTGAGCATAAGAAAATGGAGAGAGAGACCATTTAAAGTGATTCTGTGTGTCCTGGACATATTTCTGTTCGTTTTTTAGTCAAGTAAAACACTAAATATTTGTCAGCCTACGTCTGTATAAAAACATGATATTTCTATTCTTGTGATTGTTGTGAAACTTTCCATCAGCTCATTCATCAAAGACTCTGAACAGCACACAAGGACTGCAGCCGTTCAAGAAGGCAACTGACCACAACTTTCTCCAGGATTTGGGATAGGCAATAAACGAAAGCCAGCCCACATCCCATGGCCAAACAAAATAACTCAGAATATGAAAGCTTCACATTTATTGAATCTATTTCCTTCAAGTCACAACAATTCTTCTATTAAATATTGCGAAAACACAGTTCTGACATAGGCACTGTGGAATACTCACATCCATTCAAACCCTACCCTTCGCTCTAAGGCTTCCTACTAGGTTTTCACAGCGCTCTTAATTCCATGCATCATCTTGTTCAAAAATATGAACAGGAACAGGATGGCTCAATCAACCGACAAACTTGGCCCACCATTACCTCAACTCCATTTTCTCACTTAATACTCAGTTCCTGAAAGAATGAAAAAAACAGCCTTGAGCATACTCAGCAATTGAGCACTGCCATTCCTCTCGACTAGATTGTGGAGAACAGAATTTGACAAGGCCCAAGTACAATGAGGTACGAGTGTAATTAGTTACTTTAAATATAATAAAGAAAGCTGTGCAGGCAATGTATTTCAGTTATGGTAAATAGGCCTGGTGGATATCAACAACCACATGCGAAGTAAGTTCCAATAGCTTGAGGAATGTTGGCTCCAAGTTAAGTTGGAGTTTGAGTTTCAGGCACTGTGATCCATCACGGGGAGAAAGTTAATTGGACACTTGCATAAGGAGGAAGTCATCCCCCTTAGGCTAGATACTTCTGATTTGGTTCATTGATCAGCGAAAGAAAGGTGTGACTAGAAATTAATCAGGTATGGGATCTTGAGCACAGCAACAGAGAAGCCTCAGTTCTTGCAACTGTTCAAAAGGTATGAGGTTCAACAAGTGGGAACAACAGTAGGGAGGAGGATGAGTAAACTGACCACAGTCCCATGGTGCATGCAATCTTTCAAGTGGTCAAGCCAAGTTGCTATTAAAAAGGAAGAGGTGTTGTGCATCTTAAAAAGTATTAACACAGATAAGCTTGATAGGATGTTTATAGAATATTGAGGGAGGCAAGAGAACAAATTGCTGGAGCATTGACAGGCATCTTTGTATCCTCTTTGACCACAGGTGAAGTCTTGGAGGACTGGAGAATAGCCAGTGTTGTCCCATTGTTTAAGAAGGGTTAAAGGGCTAATCCTGGAAATTACAGGCCTGTGAGTCTCATGTCAGTGGCAGGAAAATTGATGGAAAAGGTTCTCAGAAACAAGGTCGATACACATTTAGAAGCAAGTGAACTTATTCGCGACAGACAGCACGGTTTTGTGCAGGGGAGTTCATGCCTCACTAATTTGATCAAGTTTTTTGAGGAGGTAATGATTGCCTGAATACTTCAGCTATGAAATGATCTAGATCCCTCTATACCTTGCTATTCTACATAAATAAGTGATACTCTGCTTTACTATTCTTGCTGCCAAAGTGAAAAACTTCATTTTCGCCACATTATATTCTACCTGGCAGATTATTACCATTCACCAATTCATCTATATTGGCCTGCACCTCATTATATCCCCTTCAAAACATACTTTGTTACATATCCTGGTGTCATATGCAAACTTAGCTAAACGCTTTCACTCCAACTCAGACAAGCCATTGACATAAATTGTAAAAAATGGAAGTCCTGTCTTGGCCCCCTGAGGGGCCTACATGGTTCGAATGGTTATAAAATGATCATGGCTGGGTCCTGAATATTTAAGAATATTTGTCATTTCAGAAGGACAGGAAGAAAGGAAAAGGAGGTGGGTGGCTTTTCTAAAGAAAAGATAGAGATAAAAAATAGCAAAGTCACTGGTAGACGGACAGCCATACTGTAAGGCAGAGGATAAATCAAGAAATAGGAAAGGTATTGCACTAATCAAGCTGAAAAAATTGACCTTCATGTAGTATGGAAGAATCAAACTGTCATCAGTGGCCTGGAGTCTGCATTCATAGAATGTTATTTGGGACATTTCTTACAAGGGTATATTTTGGATTCAAGTATGGAACAGGTTATTCTGGCCTTGTCAATGCATAATGAGAAAGGATTAATTAATGACCTTATAGTAAATGCTCCTTGAGGTAATAATAAATATACTATGAACAGGTGTCTTAAACTAGTATCCTAAAAGGTAAATAAAGCCAATTAAAAATATGAAGACTGAACTAGCTAAAGTGGAATGGGAAAACAAGATACAAGGTAAGATTGGAGAGATGCAAAGGCACACACTTAAGGAGCTAGTTCATAACTCAATAATATTCCATTGAGAAACAGATAGAGGGAGAAAAAGAGAGACAGAGAGAGAGAGAGTGAGAGAGCTCAAGCAAAAGGGAGAGAGAAGATCATGATGAGAAAGATGTGCCCCAACCAAGGAAGTTAAGGATGGTATCAAATTGAAAGTAAAGATGCTGCAAAGATTAGTGATCGTTAAAAGATTGGGAAAATATTAGAAACCAGCAAAAGATGAAAAAAAAAGGCGACTATGAGATAAAACTGATAAGAAATACAACATCAGATAGTAAAAGTTTCTACAAGTATATAAAAAGAAAGAGTGCAGTTAAATAGTTGGTCCTTTACAGGGTAAGACTGGAGAATTGGTAATAGAAAACAAGGACTTTGAACAAGGATTTTGTATTTGTCTTCACAGTAGATGACACTGAAAGCATCTCAAAAATAGCTAAAAATCTAGAGGAAAATGGGAGGGAGGAAGTAAAACAATGATTGCCAGGGTGAAGGCGCTTGGAAAACTAATAGGACTATTAGACTATCAGTCTATTAGACTATACGACCTGTATCATAGTTGCAACCTATATTAATGACATTAGATGAAGGGACAGACCACATTACAGCCAAATTTTGCAGGTGAGAACTAAGGTTGGTAGCAAATCAAGCTGTGAGGAGTATACAAAGAATCTGCAAAGGGTTACAGATAGGTTAAATGATGAGGCAAAAAGTTGGCAAGTGAAGTCTAATTTTCTCATTTGCAGTTATTCTAAACCCATATTTTGTTTCTTTACGTGTCTGCTTTGTTCCCATTTTGCCTTGTGACATCAATGCCTTTTGTCGTTTAATTTCTCCTGCTTTCCAGTTTATCGTAGACATTAACATTTTTTTCTTTGGTTCCACCCATCAGTCTATCATTCTTTCTGCCGCTTTTCAATGCTTTTGCAAGTTCTGTTGAATGTTCACAGACCAGAATTGTTGACTGTTTCTCTCTATAAATGTTAGCTGATCTACTGAGTAATTCCAACAATTCCCATCTTCTTTTTCTACTTGAAGAGTACTTCAATGTTCACTGTATAGTTTTTTGGATGAGTGGAGGGTTTGACACATGCTGAATGAAAACAAGTCTCTCTGTCTTTATACTATATACTGCTTTTGTGGTCAGAGTTCCATAGGTGGCTGAACATACACACCACAGAACAGGCAAGAATTCAACATGAAAATATTAAACAGATGAATGAAAATAAACTCAATACAAACAGAATATTAAGAACCATAACAAATTTTACTGTTCTCTTACAAATGTCAAAGCAACAAAAATATATCTCCTGAAGCAAACCTCACCACAAACTTGCTCTTTGATAAAAAGATCAGATCTTATCACACACTGTGATTCTGGCAGCAGAATTAATCAAACCTTGAACACAAATACAGTAGTCCGCCAAATCATTGGTTTAAAACAATCCTTAGGATGGACAGAACAGCCTCATCTGTGCTGTATAACTCTATGTTGCAATTCTATCAAATAATGTTTTAAAACAACAATTCTCAACATGCTGGGGGTTGCTGATATTCATTGCCTATTCCTAGTTGCTCTCATAACTCTGCGTTTTACTATATCATTTTAGGGGTGGCTAGGAGTCAGTTTGTGTGGTACTGTAGTATGTAAGATGTATGGGCTCAGACTGGGGAAGGATGACAGGTCTCTTTCCTTAAAAGATATTTGTGAATCAAGACAACTGGTTCACAATCATTTTTCCTAACTGAGAGATAGCAAGAACTGCAGGTGCTGGAGTCAGAGATAACAAAGTGTGGACCTGGAGGAACACAGCAGGCCAGGCAGTATCAGAGGAACAGGAAAGCTGACGCTTTGGGTTGGAATCCTTCTTCAGAACTGGGGAGGGAGAGGGGAGCTCAAAAATAAATAGAGAGAGGAGGGGTGGGGCTGGCGAAGGTGGTGAGATGGTGATAGGTGAGTGCATGTAGGCAATGGTCAGGATTGGTCAGTGAAATGGGAGGAGAGGATAGGTGGGAGAGAAGATGGACAGGTTGTGTCAGGTCAACGATACAGGGATGAGAGGGAGGGCTGGACATGGGATGAGGCCGGGGGTGGGGAGATTGTAAAACTGGTGAATTCCTTGTTTGGGCCATCGGGCTGTAGGCTCCCGAGGCGGAATATGAGGTGTTCCTCCTCAAGTTTGCGGGTGGCATCATTCTGACACTGGAGGAGGCCCAGGATGGATATGTCATCTAGGGAGTGGGAGGGGGAGTTAAAATGTTTTGTG